CTATAAATATAAGTATAAATTTAATAAAAACTGATAATATTTTAAAATGTATTATAAAACTTACAGGGCCAAAAGAATCTCCAAAGCTGAAATTAATATCATTCCATATCGCAGAAAGTGTACCGACAGGGTCTTCGAGAAACTGCCAGTATTTATTGGCACTGGTGGACTTGAATTTAGTCAAAAATTGCAGAGTTGTATCATAAGTTACTATATGAAATTAATTAGTATAACATTAGCAACTGGCCAATAATAATTAATTATTTTTATATTTTATCGAATCGTGCAATTTAAAGAAGTTACTGTTTTATATTTTAAATTTACTTTTGTAGGGCTACAGCTTGCTCCACATCGAAACAAAGTTGCCTACAAGGTTTATAATATAGTTCTATACTGAATTGCTGGTTCAATTTCCAGTATGCTGCCAATTAATTCAAGCATACTAACTTGTATCGGACAGCTATAGCCAGTATTTGCTTGCCTTGCATCGAACCAGGGCTGCTCACTAGTTGCAGCCTCGGTATTTAACTTTATACTGCTGCAAAATCAATATATATCAAAAATTTGGTTCTACATTGAACCAGGGTTGCCCACTGGTCGCAGTCTCAATTAAGCAAGTGGCAATAGCTTTTTCTATGTGTATCGACTTAACAAGTTCTACATCAAACCAGGGTTTCTCACTGGTCACAATCTCAACCCATTTAACAGTCGGTAACAAGCATGGAAGCAAAATAGGTATGGCAGTGCACTACCTTATATCAAACCAGGGTTTTCCACTGGTCGCAATCTTGGTAGGTACATTTGATTAATGCCAAAATATTGTTGCTTTATCCATCTGCTGCCTTACATCAAACCAGGGTTGCCCACTAGTCGCAGTCTTGACAAGTATTGATGGCTTGCTAGTATATTGCCTTTTTATTGCAGCATGTGTCGACAAGAGAACACATCATGGGAAACGATCATTGAAAACATCTCCCAGTTACTTGTTTGCATAATCGATTGATAGATTTATTTTTGCTTGATAAATATGAAGCTTATAGGTAAGTTCAGTGCATATAGTTTTTTTTAATGCTTTGCTAAAAGAAGCCATTTCTGTAATCAATGCAAGTATATAATTAATTATTAATACCAATGCTCAAGTAATAACACAATTGATTTTTCTTGAATCATTATATAATTATTATTTATTATAATAAAATATTGGTAACAGCAGAAAATTCAAGTGCTGGAGTATAGCTGTTGAATATAAATAAAGACAGTTAGTTACAGTATTAAATATTTTGTGGGCCTGGGCTTCCTGTCGATTTTGTCGAAAACAAGTGATCGAAAGATATATAGTTTAAAAAAATACCAGTAATGTCGTTAAAAAACCAAATAAAAATAAAGTGCAGGTAACTGCTGTGCAGCAACAATAAAAATATGGTATTGGAATATAACTTGTTGGAAATAAAAAAATATTCAATTATCGAAGTGTCGATAGCAAAGTAAAATCGAAATTGTGAGAAAAAAAAATAATTGACAAATCAACAAATAAATAAAAAATCATCAGTTATATGAGCACGATATATAATACAACCTGTATAATTTAATAATTGTTAAGTATTTAATTGTAATTATTAACTTTAAATGATACAAGCAATGCATCAATGGAAATTTAATTAAAAATCTTTATTAATAATAATATAATTATAATGACTAACAATACAATAATTGTTTTTTTTTTTTTTTAAAAAGCAAATTATACAATGATGCATATCTTTTATTGATACTAGTATCTAAGTTATACATCAAGTGTCTTCTAAGTACAGAGTCATTTTGTACTATTCATACACCATTTATGTCTTCTATGTAACTAGAATTAACACTGCCTATTGACTATTACTAGTAATAGCTAACTTAATTTGATCTCTAACCCAGCTATACGAACTTACACTTCATGAGTGAATCCACACACCAGGTGGGACTAATTTCCAGGAGGTGGGAAGTCCTGCTATCAGTTTAAACCTGCCTAAACCTGTTAATCCATCTAGGTCGTAAGAAGCGTGTATTTTTCAGAGTTGATTAGAACACCCGGATAACCCATTCAATACTTTTTACTTGAAACCTCAGAGAAGATACTATATTCATTGTTACCACCTGCGGCTTCTGTTTGTATGGCAAATTGTCCAATCTTCTTTTAAGCAAGCGCCGGATTGGAATAGCCTCAAGCTAGAATGTTCTTGTACTATAGAGTCTGTTGTGCCAGGGGGTTTTGTAGGCTTTTATCGGAGTTAGACCAGAAGCCTTTCCTCATGCAACCTTTCCTGCTTCGACCTGTTTTCAGCCTGCGATCGTCAGAAAGACCAGAGGTTCCATCTTCATGCAGCCTAACTGGATTTGGTCTGGATCCGGATGTCTGGGTATGACATTTGTAGCAATCCGGTAAACCCACAAATGAAGGTAAATTTTTTGCAATTGCCCCTTGTGGGTATTGAACTAGGGACATGCATTATGACAAATTTTTTCTTTGCCTTTGTCAAATCTAAAAAAATGTATTGAAAATACGTAGATCTACAATGTATTGCAGAGAACTAGGCATTAAGTTTGAGTTTTTTTTCATATTTTCGGTTGCATAAAATGCATCCCCTTGTATCACCCTTGCACCACTCATATAGTATATATGTAGTAATTTCCAAATTTTTACATATTTGATAGGAATTTATGAATTTGCAGATCACGTATTATAAATCACGATTACTGTATATTGGGTAATTATTTTCGAAGACATTTTTGCACCTTGGAATTATAGTCCTGAAATTTATATTGTATATGTATTATTAAAAAATTAGGAATTGAAAAATTATATATAGAAAATTTTCCACTTTTTAAAAGAATAGGTAGACTAATAAGGTGAGACTATGAGGAGCAAGTAAAATAAAAGTAAGAATGAAAAGCAGCTCTTTGGGCCTGAAACTTTCTGATTGGATAACTGGATTTATGAAATTACAGTATAGCCAGAAATTTCACTGTTCAAGTGGTGCAAGGGGATACATTTCATGTGACCAAAAATAGGAAAAAAAACTCTATTTATAAATATTTTTCTAAAAACAAGTAATGTATAATGTATACTTTAAATAAATGATTTATTTCATATTTACAGTGACATTGTTAGACTTACTGTATATTAATTTATTTTTGTACTTATATTTATCCTGACAAAAATCCAATCCTTAAAACAAAAAAAAACTTGAATAGATTGTAAAAGAAATTTTGCTCAAAGAAAATTTGAATGTTTGTAAATATTTCCCTTCTGTTATAAGTTTTATATCATATTTTATTCAACAAACTGATTTCTTTTTATTTTTTTTTAAACAATTCTCTTTAATGCAAATAGTATTAAAAAAAATAGCAGATTCTGATTATAACAGTAGGACTCATTCGTCTTTGCTGATTTGTATACTTATTACAATACAGCTTGATTGATCTAAATGCTAGGCAGTATAGAAGTCTCGTGGTATATGCTAATGGACTATCTTGTGAGCAATTTTGGCTTTAGTTAAACTTTATTTTATTATTTTATTTTGTAGATGTCTAAAAGCTGAATCAGACAAAAAAGATATGCATTAAAGACAAACATTACATGGTAAAGCATTTATCAAACATCACTTATTTATCTTTTTTTGTTTTTTCATAGTTTTGAAATTTGGTTTATGAATTTTGGGTGCGATTATATACTGTATGTATTTAAATAAAATAGGAATTTTATTCATCATTAATATTGGTTATTGCTGGCAGAGTTTCTTTATGACCAATCACTCAACATAGACACCTCTTCCACAAGTCATTTTTGATCTATTACACATTCAATCATTATATTTTACATTTCTAAAATTAACAAAAGGATTCTAAAGTACGTACGTACAAACTTCTTATCATAAAGTGCTTCTTATTATTCTGAAAATTAATTTCTTATTAATGAATTTTTGTTTGAAATTTTTAGATAAAAGACAAACCAATCTCACAAATTCATAATAGATGAAATGGCTTTTATTAAAGCAAGAGGATACAAATAAAGATAGTCACCATTTTGGATATGGGTTCCAAAACCTTAACCATTAGTATAGTTAGTTTAGATGGCCACAGGAAATTTGAGATTCACAAAACAATCTTTTGTAAGAATTGGCATTGATTGCTATTTTTGAATTGCAAGAAATATTAGAAAAATATAATCTAAAAAATATTTACAATATGAATGAAACAGGATTATTTTATCAGAATAATAAATTAATTATAATATTTATGTTAATTAATACTTATCTTTATTAACATTTTTTTAGTCTTGAACCAGATACTACACTTGCAACTATTTGTCTTAAAGGAAAAAAAAAAAGATAAAAAATAATTAACTTTAGCACTTTGTGCAAATGCTAATGGAATCGACAAAATACAACCATTTGTAATTGGAAAATTTTCAAATCCATGTTGTTTTAAAAAAATTAATTGTAATGGGCTTGACGTTACATATGAGGTGAGTAGCAAAGCATGGATAACAACTATATTATTTCAAAAATGGCTCAAAGAATTTGATTTAAAAATGGCTGGTTGCAAAATGATTCTTTTAAATGATAATGCAAGATGTCATTCATTTCTTATTTTAAATCTTCATAACACAACTATTCATTATCTTCCTCTAAATATAACATTACAAATTCAGCCAATGGATGCTGATGTTATTATTTCTTTTAAGTGTCATTATCGATGCTATTTTATAAAATGGTTACTTGATCAATATGAATTTGGAAAAAATGAAAAATGAGTATTCTTATCACAATAAAATTTATTACTCAAGCATGGAGAGAGGTATCATTGGAGACAATATATAATTGTTTTAAGCATACAAAATTATTCAAGATAATCAAGATAATAACTTATCTGATATTAATGATGATAATAGCTTGATGAAAGAATTATATGAAGATGTTGAAGCACTTTGCTTTCGAAATATAATGGATCTTGAAGAATATGTCAATTATCCAGAAGAAAAAAATACTTTGAAACACTAAATGATTAAGAAATTTTGAATATTATCGTTAATCAAGAACTTGAAAATAATGAAAGTGAATTAATAGAACAATATCTAATACAACAAGACCTTAGTTATACAGATTTGTTAAAATATGATGAAACTTTATTGAAATTACAAAAAATGATAAGAAAATTCGAAATATTTCTTTTAAACAAACAAATATTGAAGGTTTTTTTAAATCAACCGATATTAATTATGTAATTAAATTTTTTAAATTAATTAAATTTTTTTAAATTAATTAAATAAAAATAAAATTTCGTTATTAATATATTTATATTTATACTATTTATTCTTTAATTGCAATTTTCTCTAAATACAAGTTATAAAGCTGGTTTCAACAACCTGCATTTAGAGAGGTCTGACTGTAGTTAAAGTCTTTAGATATAATTTATAAAAGTAATATATTATTTTTCTAATAAATCCAAAACTTCTAATAGAATTAATACCTGCAGAACACCTCTACAATTATAATTATAAATTTTAAATTGTGTTTATTTCTTTATGCAATAATTATATAAAAAAAAAAAAGATAAAAAATTTAGGAAGAAAAAAACAATACAAATATTTATAAAAGAAAAGATACTAAAAAAAAAAAAAAAATTGTTATTTATTTTAACTATTGTTAAAAAAATTATTTCAGTAAACAAAAACTAAACTTTTATATTTACTATTGTACTTATTTTTTATTACTTGTAATTAATTAGACTGTTTAATTTCTATTGAAATAATAATATTAGGACTTTAAAAAATACCAAACTGGTATTGAAATAATATTAAAATAGGATTAATCTATAGTAAATTTAAATTTGAGCTGTAACCTACTCATATAAATTTACAGTAAATTTAAATATCAAATTGATATTAAAGTAATACTATTAAAAGCCTTAAGCAATATTTAAAAATATTTAAAGATACTTCAAAAAAGTATTTTTTAAAACATTATACTTAAAGACTTTTAATTAAAAAGAATATTGATTTTCCATTATTAATTTTTTTTCAATTATATCTTTTGGAATTATTGCTTGATTTAATTAATAAATAGTTTCAAAATTCATTTTTTTAACTATTTTCAAAATAAATATTATTATCTTAACTTGTTACCAAATTGAAATAGGATATAAATCTTAAGTCTACTTTTATTTTTGAAAATAATAGAAAAAAAAGAATAAAAAGAAAAATAAAAAAAAATTATTCTTTTTTATTTATAGCTTTAACTTTTATTTTTATTTTTTGTATTAATATTTTTTAATTTATTATATATGTAATTTCTTTTGTATTATATATATTTCTATATTATATATTATATTATATAGGAATGTTTTTTTCAATTTTTGAAAAGATTATAATTTAAATATTTGTTATATAAAAAAGACAATTGTAGATTATTGAAAATAGAATTTATAATATATATATCTATTTTTATTTTTATATTAGAATTTAATTAAAATATTTTTTAAAAACTTATTAATATTATTTTTTATTTTTTATTTTTCAACTATATTAATATATTTAATATAATATAATATAATTTTTTTTTAATCTGCAAATTTATTTTTATTAAAGAACATATCTACTTTGCAAAGTAAATAAAACAATTAGATACTCTGATACTTTTTATATTGAATCTTTAAAAAGGTAGTATACTTGAATAATTCAAGATAGAAAGTTCTTGAAAATATATATTAATATTTGATAGATTATTTTTTATATATATTTTTAACTTATACAATTGTAAAAGACTTTTAATATATATATATACTTTTTAATAAATGCTTCAAAAACTGCAGTCCTTAATTAACACTATATATATTTATATATTACTATAAAAGAAAACTTGATTAACAATATAATTCTGAATTAAATATAATTTTCAATTATTTATTATATATTACTTAGTAATTTTATCATATACAGTATAACAATCCTGACCCTGACTGTATCATGGAACCCATATTGTGTCCTGTAAACTGGATGTCCCAAAAAGTATCTGATTCACCCTGATGATTTGCAAGTCTGAGACATGTTCCCAGACAACTGTCAGACACATGTATAGTATGATTTTGACCCTTGATGATGTGATATGCCATCAAGTATTACTAATTAAATTACTATGAGTTAATATAATCAAATTAGGAGCATAAGGCCATAGAGTCTCCAGAGATTAAACCCAATATACAGTAGATATATGTATTTTTTATATTTATTATTTATGTATTTTTATATTTTATAAAGCCAATATATATAAAAGAATACTCTTTTGATCTTAATAAAGCTCCAATTCTATTAATATTAAAATAATAATCATTCAAGTTTACTGTTTTTTTAAATCACTAATAATTTATTTAAAACTTTTATAACTTGATGGCAGCAAATTTAAAGAATCTCTCTTTAAAGAAACTCCAAGTAAAACTCTGCCAAAATAGATGTCACTCAATTTATAATGTTTATAAAAACCTTCCAAGAGACTATAAAAGCTCTTGCTATAGAAAAGAGAAAATAACCTGCTGAAACAAGTTCTTCTATTGCTACCACAGCTGCTGCACCTAGAATATCTCTAAGAATCCCTATGTTTAGAGAAGAACCTGGAGAAAATAGGAAAGTCTGGCTATACCAAACAAAAAATATTCTATATGCCCAGGAAATCAAGGAAAAAAAACAAATGATTTACTATGCCATTACAGGATTTTAGGTTTCTACCCTCCATTGGTTTGTCAACAAAATCAAGGATGCCATTGCTACCATTTTTACTGAATGGAACTATTTCAAGAAAGAACTTAGAGCTGCCTTCCAGCCTCTATACTACAGTCAGGCACATTACCAAAAACGGACAATGAAGATCGCACCTAATATAGTATAGAAGTGACGATCAGTTTGATTCCAGAAATTTCTCGATAAATGCTAACATAGAAGATCCCTAACATACGTATGTATGTACGGTTAAGAATTTTTTTTAACACGGTTTCATTTTTTTAAAAAAATTCCAATTAATTTCCCAGCACTTTTTTGACTCATGGATTGAGACGCTTGGGAACACTATGTGTAGTCCTAAATTATTAATAATGATTATAATGACTTAATAATATATGGCGTAGCTAATTAGTACAGGATGTATAAAAAACGAAAATTTGCGTTAATATTTTCTCAAAATTGTTAAGATATTGGCAGATCAAACTTTTATTAAATTCGTAGGTAATTTATTTAATTTATTATATTAAATTCGTAGGTAATTTATTTAATTCATTATATCGATATTATTAGTATTAATAACACTATTGATTTTTTTCATTATTAACTAAAAACTCGGAGGTCCCATCACTTGCTATGTAAATGACCGAAAAAATGAAAGACTTATAATGGATTATGATCACTTTTTTATAAAACATCTAGTTAACACAAAAATCCAGTTTTGGGCTCTTAATCCCTTTAAATTAATTAAAGTTGGAGTTATCGAAGAGTTGAATATTCAGTTAGATAAGCGTTATCCTATTGAAGATTTTATGAAACATAATACCTTACAAAACCCAGCTAATAAGATCTTTTCGGAGTATCGGGAAAATAATGTTTAACAAATATAGACTTGCAAAATTCATACCCCTTTTAATAGTTGTGATTAAGGCTAGTAGAAAAAGTATCTTTTGTTTGAAAATTTTTCTTTTACAAACCGTACGTATTATCATGGTTTCTATATGTCCATCCTAAACTTGCGCTTTCGTATGTACCATACTACTTTAATATATACTCGAAACCCCTCAATGTATAGATTTAGAATTACTATAATATTCTTATTACAGTATTAAATCTTATTTATTAAAAATAAAATTTTTAATACAGTATTTTTTTTTTTTTTAAATCAACTATCTTATAATTATCATATAATATAAAATTGTAATTACAAAATACAGAAATAAAAAGCAAAAGCGCTTTCCTATAATTGATTCAAATTCGAATCCAATCTTTTGTTTAATTGTTAATCACAGTTGTTATTATATTCAGAATCTGAATCAAGTAAAGACCTTACCTCTGCTAATATAGTCAATAATTCATCACGCCTCTTTGATTTTAATCCTCTATATTTTTTCCGAACTCTTTTATCCAAACATTCTAAAAGGGCTTCAATCTTTAAGATAATTTCTTTTTTTTTTATATTAACTTCATTTTTCTGTGCATCCACTTCTTCTTTTGTAATCGGAATCGGCCTAAATAAAGGTGCAGGATTATTGTTAACAAAAATGTTAGTAATATATTCTTTTCGAGCTTTTTTTGCTAAACTTGTAAAATTTAATAACTCAGTGCTTAATTCATTTTCCTCTCCCAAGCTTTTACAAGTAGCTCTCGAATCTATTGGATTAACAAAATTATATTTTCTTAAACAAACCCGGAATCTTTGGTATTTGGTTATTGGTTCTGGCCTGGTTCTTGGATTATTCGTCTGAGGATCACTATGTCCGATCAATCTGAAGAAATTATTTCGTAACTAGATTTTTATTATCAAAAGTTAGTTAATTTAATACTTGATTATTTGAGTAAATGAAATATTTACCTGGAGGAATTTTTTGCAGTTTCTTGCGGCGATTTCCCAATGGCGTAGTTGTGGAGTAGGTGGTATCAGCGTTTTTAAGATCTTATTGACTTCTTCTAAAATAGCATCCAATCCCTGATGTTGATTGATAAGCCCCGACCTAGAAATTGCACAATTATTTTCTACAATATCTCTTATGGATGAATCAAGTTGCATCAATTGTATTTCATCTGAGGCTTCTATCAAACGATATATTGGGTGGCGTCGCGCTGACCATATGGATGAAAAAACTCTTCTCACAGCTCTTTTCAACAATGAAATATTTCTTCTTACGGCCATTCTATAGTTAATAATGGCTTGCAAATAATAAAAAACCTATAATAATGAATTAATTTAGAAACTATTTTGAGAAATACAATCTATAAAAATTACGAGATTGCACCTGTTCAAATTTTATT